TGAATGGTTTTCTAGTCCGGCTAAGCCCTCTTGACGCTGTGAATAGCAAACGATGTTTAGGTGTGCGTTGGCCAAATTTTAAAGGGCCTAAAAGGCAGTTTGTTAAACAACGTCTAAACACTGTTTTAATAACCGGCTCTGAGTGTTTAATTGCCCATGCTTCCAATTCATCAACGTTTGTCCATCAGTAAAAAAAAACGTTGTTTGTGTATAGTACCACCTGGGCTGAGCCCTGAGGAGTCTGGCAAATTATCAACTTGTTTAGTTCTGTACACGTTTTCCAAATAAGTGTTTGACACGTAGTCAATCGTTTCAATTGACCACATGGAAATATTTCTGAGTCTGAACTGGACTATAAAACTGAAAAAAATAAGGAGTTATTGTCAAAGTATGTATTCGTTTACTAAATTTAGTTAAAATGGCACTTATTGTCTGAATCATGAAATGTGGATTAAACAAAGCCTTTACAATTTTCTTGTATGAATAATTGCGAGGCAAATGACTAGACTAACCAGGCCTTACCCCGACCTACGTTTGGTCAATCACCTGAGATACTGTCTATGATTGAACTCTGTAATGAAAAATCCCAAAACGTTTGCTAGAGTGTTACGAAAATTGCGAAAATAACGAAAATAACAAAATTTTGCAGGGCCTTTAACATGCGAATCAGAGGCCAGGGAAGGCCCCCGAAGAAACAGCCAAAATTACGAAAATTGCGAAAATAACGACAAAAAAGATCGAAGGCATATTCTCCCATGTTTCTCCGTCTTTGCAATCAAAATTTACACGGCGTACTTCACTTAGCGTTGCATAACAGCAATGTTGCTTCGAGGATGTGTTATTCAGTGACGTATCCTCACCTTCAGATAAGGGGAAGGGGGGAGGGGGGGTCTCCGCCACTGTTATTATGTACAGAACAAAGGGAGAAACATTGTGACATATTCGCATAAAGATCTGACGAAAAAACACGAAATTTGTGAATTTTGCAATTTCCGTTAAAATTGTAAAATAGGCAGCGCCGCTTTGAAAAGGATAAAAATTTGGTTGAATTGTCCTAAAGCCATGACTAAAAATCGTGAATATTGTGAGTTTTGCAGTTTTCGCAAGGCCATCACGAAAAATCGTTCATTTTGTAAATTTCGTTGCAGAGTGCAGTCCTGCCGACATAAGAGAATTACCTTGAATAATTGGGAAATTTAAAATTGGCGGGGCTTTACTTCTTTAAGGTATTTAGTGCTGTTTGTAAAGAGTAGGGTACGTGGTCCGCGATGTGGGGATCTTTCTCGAATTCGCACTGGATTCACTTTAGGGGCATTCATTGCTCATTACTTCACAATTGCAAACTGCGTCTGAGCAGTGTGGCAGAAGTCCCACCAACAGATAGTGCAAATTATCGGTGATTAGTCTTGGAGGGCAGGGGTAGCCTGCGAAAACATCCGTTTCTCCTCGCTCCTCGCCGCTGGGGACGTTTCGCGCGGAGGAAAACGCGAAACGTCCCCAGCGGCGAAGAGCGAGGAGAAACGAATGTTTTCGCAGGCTAGGGCAGGGGAGGCTTGCGGGGTGGATAATAGGATATTTACAATAAAGAATTTACAACTCTCATCATCATCTTCATCAAATGAGATAACATTAAGCTGGTGGGGTTGTGTTATGCACAAGATAGTTAAAATTGTATATGGTATGAAACTACAATTCTCCTAAAAATAATATTGCATGAGGAATTATGCAAGGTAATTTGACACTGCTAACTGTTTCAACTGTAGGTCATTAATGTTAAATGAAAGGGACAAATGAACGAAGTTGTTTTCGTCAAGAAGTAGCGTTTGAAAGAATTGTCAAACATTTAGTTAATAGGGTAATTTTAATCGCTTGAAAATATGAAAAAATAATGTTACTCTCTACAACGAACGTATATTAAGTGAGCATCAGAATTTCTCACGGTACGCTCTTTTTTCTCTCCTTTTGTGGTTACTCACAAACATTGCGATGACCTGTTCGTCATTGCGATCTGCAACAAATCTATACATAGTCGGAAGCACAGCTTTTTAGCAGTTTCTCTAGTTCAGCAAATTTTAAGGTACCGATGTTAAATTTCCTAATTATGACATTCAATTTGAGCAAACGTAAGGACGGGGCAATGCCAAGTTGGTCTGGTCATTTGCATCTCATGACCAATTATTCATACAAGAAAATTGTGGAAGTTTTCGTTCCATCCACATTTAATCTTCAGGAAAAAGTGTCATAAACGAATATATACTTCATCAATCACTTTTGCTGCGCCATTTTGATATCAGGAATTTAATAGTGGTTTTGCAACATTGCTGCAAAACGAGTTGAATAGCGATGTCGCGCGTTTTACCATCCACGTTCAAAACAGAAAAATGGTTGCAAGGTTTTTGAGGGTGGTAAAACGGGTAACATCGCTATTCAACTCGTTTTGCAGCAATGTTATCTTTACTGCACTGGGCAACAATTCATCGCAATTGATATATTCTGATGCTGAATTAATTATATTCTACTCTCTGCAACGAACATATTTTAAAAGTTAATTCTAAAAGTTTTATTAAATAAACCCCAGCTAAAAAAGAAACTACAACGCACAGTACATAACCTGTCAATCACGTGAGACTCGAGCTCGATCCTGACGATCTTGAGAAAAAATAGGGGACTGCGAAGAGTCAGGCTTTTGTCGCCAGCACTACTTAAACCGTTGCCTCTTATTATTATTTTTTTTTTAATTGTAAGTCTCATGCAGCCTGTTTATTTATTTTTCTAGGTATCACAATTGCAATATTTCAACTAGGGTTTACAATATTGAAAGTGAAATTTTAAATGCTTTTAAAGTCAAATCCATTTCAGTAGTAGTTCCAAAGTCGATCCGGTTAAAGAATAGTTTCAATGGTTTACTGTGGTTCCAGAAGTTCCGGTTAAACAGTAGTTCCAATGGTTTACAATGGTGGACTATGATTCCAAGATGCTCTTGATCTGGTTAAACAGTAGTTTCAAGCGGTTAAACGGTAGTTCCAAGATTCTCTTGAGCGGTTAAACAGTGATTCCAAGATTCTCTTGATCTAGTTTAAACAGTGGTTTCAATCGGTTAAACAGTAGCCTGTGAACAGGCCTTTGGTCGAGGGGGGTGGGGAGAGGGAAAAGCGAAAACTTCTTTAGTTCTAGCCGCCGAGGTCAAATATTCATCTCGCAATATAGCGCTTAAAGCAGCACGGGACGGCGAAAAAAACATGACACATGACTCAGTTAACATTTTCTTTAAACTTTTATTGAAAAATTTGCTTTAAATCTGCATTTTGGAACAAAATTATAGCCACCGTATTGTTTACATGTATTTCTTCTATAAATAACAAAAGATCGTTGCTCAGATTTCCATCAACAACGGGCCCCAGTAACAGAGGGTGGTCTGCCTGTGTTCAAACGGTACTAAATTCACTTTGATCCGAATCCGTGTCCAAGAGTCCAATCCAAGATGGCGTCTTCGATGAGATCGATGATTTCAAGTTTTCGCGATTTTACCTCCAATCGTCAAGGATACAATTTTAGAAAAACGCGATTTATCCTCCTGTAGTCAAGGTGAGTGAAGCAAAAACCGAGACTTTTGGCTTGTGAAAAAGACGGCGAACTCCGAGAAAAACTAGCCTTCACCCCGTCCCCGTATTCGAAGCTAATAACTAGGAAATCCCATAGAAAACCCGTCCCCCCAAACAACACTACCACCTGAGAAAACTAGACCTAAACAAAAGGGGAAGAAACTTGAAGAACAAGGAAAAATTTGGCCTAGGTCGCTGCCCGTGGCTTGCCAGCATTCCGAAGGATATCCTGGTAAGCAAGCCATCTAATGGAGATTCCACTGCAATTAAGTTGTGGATAGGGAGATGCGTATATTATGGTGTCATCGGCTTACACATGTGGTATAGAGTGTTTTCACTCACGTGGCCAGCATCTATGCAAATTTATTGGAACAAAAGAAAGCGTTTGCATAAGAAAAGAGTACAGCTCCCAGAGGATTGGTTTGGGACACCAACATGGCCGCCGTTTCATTGTTTTGGGACACCAATATGGCCGCCGTGACGTCATGTGAAGACACTCTATACAGAAGACACCCAGGGTGATCATTATTGATGATTAAACCCCCGGGGAGGAACTCCGCATATAAAAGTGGTGGGGATGCTCGTCGTCTCGCTTAGGGGTGTAAATTTCGGATTGTGGTCTCAATTAGGGTGTTCTGGGCAAAACGCCATCACATTTAGCTTTGAAGATCTCGTTTAGGGTTGCACGCAAAAAAATATAAAAATATATATTTGATACCTGTATGTATATTTTTAATTCGTTTTATTTACTCCATTCATATAATCCAAGTTTTCTCATTTATGTGTTTTAACATGGCCTCTTTCAGGGATCAAAAAATGCTTGGGCCACGCCCAGATCGGTCTCCTTTAGGGATTTAATTCAAAATTTCCGACGAGCACCCCCACCCCTTTCATATGCGGAGTCCCCCCCCCCCCGGGGGATTAAACACAACAATGGGCCAAAAATTGACGCCTGCGGAACTCCACAACTGATCAAATGGAGTTTAGATACACAGGTCCCTTCAACTCACTGTTGACCATTTGATAGGTACGTGGAAACCAGTCATGCGTTGAACCCCTCAGACAGTAGAGCTGAAGCTTTTTCAATTAAATCACGATGTGAAACAGTATGAAGGGCTTTGGCGAGATCAAGAAGCACAATCAAATTAGTCGCGCCTTTGTCAATGTTAAAATACAAGCTATGTGCAAGAAAGCTAGCACTGTAAGAGACGAGACAAAGCCATAGATCTTTCTACTTTATTTACATATTTATACCTCCAATACAATAGCATTCAGTTTTCATTTTATTCCTTGAGACTACCATAGATTAAATTTATAATTCAAAACTTGTCCATTTATCCATTGGTGATCTAGACTCCAAAAATGAAAATGCTGCTCAAAATTTGTGGAGAAGTTGCAGAACAGAATATTGACAGAAAATAGCTAGTCAAAGGCCCACCGATTCGAAATCTAGACAGCATGGGATGTTCCTTTACATATTTTTCTCCGGGGGAAAAATCGCCACAGCCAAAAGGTACAATTATGAAATAGTAGCGTTAACATTTTCTGTCGTGAAATCACAATTCCTACTTATTAAAATATTTTGTTTGCATAATAATAAATAAGCAAGCGTCACAGCACGTATGACACACTCGATGCAAAGTCACTCGGTGTATTTCTATCTCCACATTTCTGCCAGAAGAAACAATCGCCCTGTTGTTCAAATCGCCGTCACTGAGGTCAGGTGTAAATTCAGACCGAGCACAACCTCCATACAGCAGATCTGTTTATTGTCAGTATAGTTATTGGTCAGCAACATGGCGTCTTCAACTATCCCAACAAGGAATCAGTGGTTTAGGATTTACTAGACATCGCTGTTTCTATCCAAGAGCATATATAAGCATCAGTATCAAGCAGATAGAAATCACACTGGCTAAGATGATTGAGTCCCGACGCTTTCTGACGTTTATGCGTTGAATCAAACTATTAAGTGCCGGGAAACGATCTATAAAGTGCATTAAGGAACCATGAACATAGTAAAAATATAGCAATTTAATTCCATAAATTTTACTCAACACGCCACAAAATCAATTTGGATTTAGCACTGCCCCCAAGGAAGACATGACTATGCTGATCATAAAATTACTGTTATAGATGGATTTTTGCTAATGTAAGCATTCCTATTGTCTCAATTTGCTAATTAAAGATGACCTGCTCATTTCTCACAAAGCATATCCAGTAGAGGAGTTTCTAGCTTCAGATTTACACATGCTGATTATCAAAAAGGATACTAGTCACTGAACCAAGTCGACTACTCACACCATACAGGACACCTCGCTGACTTTGAAGATTTTCCTTAGTGGCCAGTGCAACTCTACAGTTGAAAAAGAAAAGATGTAACTCTTACACCTCCAACTGGTCAAATTCAAGAAATGCTCCAGATTTGGCTCTTAGAATGTTGATGATTATGTACCACTGGCGCTTGCCTATCCTATTTTTCTCGCCGATAAAGCTCTACGGTGTGAAGTTATCTATGCACATTGTTATAGGGAGCTTTTAAGCGTTGCACATTATCCGGAAGTGAGTCATTGTTCCTTCTCATAATATGCTTTAGCACTACCACACTTGTCTTAGAGAGTTTAGGCTTCATCAGGTTTAAGTTGGGAATTCCTCAAAATAGAAAATGACCAGATAAAAACAGCTCAAAACAATTCTTACTGATAAAAAAAATGCGTGAAACTACTAATTTGGGTGTAGAAATAATAAACAGTAAACGGCAGATAAAGAGGAAACTTGGTCACGTGGTACAAAAATTCGTGTTTGACGTAAACGTGATGCTTAACCTCTCTATTGCTACGTTTCTATACTCTTAAAGAAACGATTTGCGCGAACGTTTGGGCGAGACAACTGCCCAACAATGCAAAAAGTCTACCCACTTCCTTTTGACACACGTCACTCGAAAATGACTTTGCTTAAGCTCACTAAACAGCATGATTAAAAAAACAAAAATATTGTTCAAGCTTTTACCGATCAAGGGCATCATCCAATTTTATTTTTGAAAAAAGGCAGTTTAAGGCCTCATTTGGACAATACATATTTTTGTTTTATTTTTCATTCAGAGGATTAACAATATTTCAAGTCTTAAAAGGAAAGTCGCCGCCCACTTTTGACTAAATCGAATTACATTTTCCATAACTGTATAACCCATGTAAAAATTTATTGTCTATCTTTTTATTTTTGTATATTTCAGCAGAACAGCCCTGCATAGAGAAGTCGTAATAAAGTGTATGTATGCATGTGTGTAATACATGATGTAGCAGAGTTCTAATCTGAAAGCTTACAAATCCACATAAATAACACCGCTGACCATCAAAGCAAACTTACCCAATTACATCATCTGCCAGCCGATCAGAGCTAAATGGGACAGAAAAGAGTTGAAAGGACAGGCCATGAAAATTTGTATGGAGTGCTAAAAGTTTCAGTTTGACAGAAGCAATCTTTTATCAATGTTGTGGTTCAATTTTATCTTTGGGTTAAATTCTATGATCCCTTGTTTTGGGGTATGGTAATGTTTGATAATTAGCATGAAACAATGGAAAATAATACAGTAGAACCCAGTTAAATAATACAGACACCAAGAAGACATGCCACAGTGTCAGTAATGTATTATCCAAATGCCATGGACACATGTCTTAATTTCTTATCTGTAACTTAAACAAGTTCATCTTAAAAAAAACCCTACAGTCATTAAATCATTAGTTTTATCATATTCTCAGTCTAAAACTACCTTTCAAGCATTTGTCTTGAAATACAACAATAGTATCCATGACTTTGTACTAAGACTTTTAGTTTGCCAGCCAGGTTGACTGAATTTCATACAGAACGTTTGAAAGGTCATTCACTATTTCTGCTAGGCTTTAACTGGTAAGATATTCAGTCATAGAACGTGGGTAGATAATCAGTGCCCATAAAGCGAGGTTGACAATATATGAGAGTATGTGACTCAGTACAGAAAAGTGTCTGTGGTCCATATTAACTGATGTCCATAAAATCAAACCACAGCATTAACATGACCACCTTTAGGGGTGAGCCACTCTTTTAGTCTGGTTTCCATACATGAAATCGCCAGCTAATCCCCCAAACCGTCTCAATCATTCCAGTCATCACTGACAAAATAATTGGAACAAGTGAAGTGATGGATACTACATATATCAAAGACAATTATGATTATGAAACCAAATCTTTCTAGTTAATCTCCACCAGGACTGTTCAAAGTGTTTCAGTCTGATGATTAGCGAGATGATCCTACATCTTATTTTCTTACACTCTGCTGCAACTGTTACTCCATGTATTCTTTAGTTCTACTTATAATAAAGTTCAGATATAACGTGCACTCTGATTGGTTGAAAAAGCATGCTTTATGAGAGAATAAACCGCTTAGGAAGCAGCTAGAGCACTCAAGAAGTTGGGAGAAACACTCGCCTACACGCATGTCTCTTGTTTCCCCCTACACGTCTTTCTTTCCTGCATGCTTTACAACAGAACAGAGCACAGTCAAGGCTTCTTTATTTGTTACCTAATGTACAACAAACTCACTTTCTTATATGTTCATTTTCCTTGAGATAAAGATCTGTTCTTCTGTTCATCCCAGTCTTGTATGCACTAAAGTTAGAAAAAGGTGTAAGATGATGTCTGCAAACTCTAACACTGCATTTGTTTTTTGTAGTACACAAAATTGAGCCTCACAACTAAAATAATTACAGCAAAAGTTGTGTTTTTTACATCACTTGTCAGTTATGTCCAAGGTGTATATAACAAACCAACTACGCAACTGACAAGCGACAGAAACAACTTTATAAACACTCAAATCCATGCAAGAGAGAAACCTCTGCTCGCAGGGTAATTGGGATTTCCTACTGAATAACATTCTGTGAATAACAAGGAGAAGCTTAAAACAAACTTGCTTACTTTATATCTCTGTGAACAGATCCTAAAAGGTCTTCTCTATCTCTGAATGCTTGGATATTTGCCTAGAACCAAGATAACCATATGTTTAAAGATTTTGGTATAAATTCAGGTTTGTTGCTAAGTTCTGGGGGCGAGGGATTTGCCCCACATCCCCACCCTCTAAAAATTATCAAATCCTACTAAAATCCTGCTGGTATCTACAAAAATTATGAAATTAATAACATTTAACTTTAAAAACCTTAGCCTAACACTGAGTAAGTTTAGGTCTGAATCCTTGATAGACCACTATTGAGATCATGATCACAAATTCAACTTCTTCTTAGATCGATTTCCACAAGTTAAAAAAACTTAGCCACAGCATAAGGTGGCAACACATGTTCAGTTGACCTCACTGCTCAATAATTATAGTGCAAGAAGTTAAGAGTTTCAGTGTCCTCCACCATTGTATATTTATTCAAGGAACAACCACACATTTAAAACCTATGTCTTGGAAAACAACGCAGTACTGTATTTAAGCAGCGCTAGGGTGTTTTCTGTGATGGTTGTGTTAAAATTTCCACTAATGTTCAGCTTTAAAGTATAAAGCTGAGCATTAGCCAAAATTTTATCAAGCAATATGCCACCTTTGTCTTTGAGAACTCGTGTGAGTAACCCTGAAGTATGTCCCTGTGTCTTTGAAGCATATGAAGCTGAGTACCATTAGGTTGACCTAAACTGAACCCCGCAGTGTATTCCGCCATTGCATCATTTACTTCTGTCAACTGGAAAAAAAGCAAACAAGAAACATTGTACATAACATATTACAAAAGACACACCAAACCATCTTTAGAACTTCTCTATTAATAAATAACTTTTGATGTATGTACAAATTAAAAAGATGCATAATTATTTAATTAAGCTTCCTTATAAATACAGTGGAACTTCTCGTAAGTGGACACCCCCGAGGTGCAAAAAAGGTGTCCATAACTAGTGCTGGCCTCTTACGAGATGGTTCTCCTAAGTGGCCAATAGAGATGTAAGGGTTAAGTGGTCACTTACAGGAGCTTGCCTAGCTACAAATAAACATTAAAAAGGCAAAAAAAAAATTTTGTTAGTGTTTGATTATACCGTTGTTCTGACAATGTTGTAAATATGCAGTCACAAGTATAACATTCAAGTGCTGTTTTGAAGTGTAACCACACATAGATGTGAATAAAAAAAAACACTCTAAGAATAAGAGGTGAATGAGATTTCATTTTAGGAGTCCGCTTATGGATGCTTAAATACACAGCTAAAAATCTAATTCGTACATGTAACTGACAGTGTCCACAGCAGCTAATGGGAACGTAAAAATACAGAGTTTGTATGAGAGTTGAAAAGGGGTTTTGTGAAGGTGGCTGTAACTAACGCTGTCCGCTTGCGGAAGGGTCTGTTAAGACAGCTATCAGTGTAAATTTGTGTATACCCAGTTGTCTAAGCCAAGGTGGTGTTGTACTCTTCTAAACCTCTTATTGGAAGATTTTTGTTTCCAAAACCTTTCCTTCCCTGTAAAATTCTGATTTATATTCATACTTCCATTGGAGAACTTTTTGTTTAGGAGAATACCAATATTTCCTTTGAGTTGCTAAGTAGTGTCTAGGGACAGTCTAGATGTGTTTGTGCAGTGGGAGACATAGAAAGAGAAGAAATATTGACAATCTTCAAAAACCTTTTTTTTGGTCTTGGCTGCTTTCTTTTCCTATCTAACCATTTACAAAATTGGGACAAGATGGTCCTACAATGAGCGTCCATTTTCATTTAGTCTAGATAGCAGAAAATTCCTTACTTTGTATTAAAGTAAAGCCTAGTTTCCATATAAACGCTACAATCCCTACAATCACTGTGATCCTGACAATCGCTGAGAAAAAAGCTCAGCGATCATAGGGATCAAATAATTGAAACACAATCTCCAGCAATTGCAGCAAAAACGATATAACTTTTTCTATCTCAAAGATCATCGCCACCGTGATCACTGCAAACGCTACTATCGCTGGAAAGCTCGCTGGTTTCCACATGATCACTGCAATGAACTTATTTTTTCACTGATCACAGCCATCGTAACAATCGTAGCCATCATATGGAAACCAGGCTTAACCCATTCGCCCCTGAACCGCCCGTAACCGCCCGTGCGGATCCAGGTCCTTTCTAGCCTTTGTGACGTCATCAGTTTTAACCGTCAAGGACAACTTTCTTCGCTAACTTGTGCAGAGTGAAGAGATCTTTCAAACCATACCAGAATGAGCACAATTCAGTCAAGGACACCGGAGAAAGAAGCAAAAAACCACGTTACAAGGACCTGAAAATCTCCATGAAAATCTTGTTCCATTACCCACCTACCTTTCCTTTCACCTAATCCTAAGATCCTAAAAGCTTTCCTAAAAACTCTTCCCACCAAAATGAAGCCTACTAAATGCCCAGCAAGAGAAAAAAAAAAAATGAGGCAAGAAAGGCGAAAAAAGAAGGGAGGAGAGAAAGCGAAAAGTAAAAGTCAAGACTGCTGTGTCACTTTTAAACCCAAAAACTATGTCGAAATTTTGCTTTCTGCGCATGCCCGAACTTCGCAAGCTGATATTTTGCATCTGGATTAGAAGGCCGCCAAGTGTACGACCTGTAAACCGCTTTGTGGTAAGTGTTAGCTCTTTATAGCACGACAGTGACCAGAAAACCACTCGACTAGCTTCAAAACGCGTTTTTCGGCAAAATCTCCAGGAGCAAATGGGTTAAAGGTCACCCATCAATTCATTACACATTTTAAGTGAAGCATAAAACATAGCAATGGTTGTGTTATAGGCCAAATTTGATTTCAGTTTGATTTTGATTTAGCCTAGGTTGATTCTCAATTTCCAATGTCTCCTAGCTCTAGAAGACAAGGGAAATTGAGAATCAACCTGTGTTAAAAAAATTTAACCTGAAATCAAATTTTACCTGTGACAGTTGAATGACAAGGTAACAAAGAGCTGACAGTAATCTTCCAGCTATTTCACAGGTATCTCACAAAAAAATAAGTGAGCATAGGGAGGGTCAAAGGAAAGTACATCATCATAAAACATAATAGGGAAAGACAGACCCCTTCACTATCTTCAAAATAGCTGTTAATCTTAAAAGCTGTGGCAAGAATGTAACATATTGTGCACAAAACGAAAAAGGACAAGTCTTTTCACGTTCACGTGCCTTGCTCCCAAATGGCAATGCCGGAAACAGGCATAAGCAACGTCGTCATCTCCGAGCCTAATATATTACTACATCTGAATAAATTGTACATTTTAACTTTTATATGCAAATGTAAGGTAATGTTATTCTAAATAAATATTAAGCGAGAGATCTGCGAATGGCCAATAAATCGTCTCCTGAAGAAAATAAAATTTTGATCAGTACTGACCTTGGATAAAAGTTGCTCAATTTCTAGTCCCATGGTATCGAAAAGTCGTTCACTTGAAGAACTGTTAAGTAGCGGCGACGTATCGGAACTGCAATTTATTAACATAAACGCTTGGAGAAACAACTAATAAAACACGCAACTCAATTAATAGCAATCTAACAAGCACCTTTCTCTGAAGCCATTATGATGGCTGTAAGACGTCCCCAATTTGCTAAAGGACACCAGTTTTAGATCAATCTCATTTTCAAGTTGTCTTGCTTTCTTCCTCAATTCTAAACATGACAGAAATAGACCAGAAATTGAAGACAGACGCTTATATCGTAGCAATAACTTAACGGATCTCACAGGTAAAGAGGAATTGGAATAAGACAGGGAAAAACACCAACCTTCCCATTTTAACGGAGTCATCGAGGAAGCCATGTTTTCTGCATCATCGCTCATAACTGCAGCTCGTACTGCATTATGGGAAGTGATACGTAAACACTTTTGCAGTTACCCGCTGGTCGTATTTTCCTGGACACCGCGGTGAAGAATTCTTAGCCAATCAAAACCCAGCATTGTTCACGGTTCGAAATTTGAATGTGAAGAAAAAAATCCTGAAAATCGACATCTTTCTTCTATAAATCAGCTGTGTTTACCTCGTCTACTTTGCTATTTACTGACCAGCGATTCGTGAAAAATGGGGGTGAGTATCAACATACATGTAATGAAAACAGGTCCAAACTGAAAGATTGTGTAATTACAATACACTTTCCATTAACGCAAAATTGTCGTCGACTAAGTCAAGCTACCAGCTGTTTTAATTCTTATTCGAAAATACGCACGCCTTAAACATGGACTGATCATTGCTTGCAACATTGAGGGACCAAGCTTAAATTTTTTCCGTTAAGATTATTAACGATGCTTAACCAATTCATTGTCAACAGTTTCGAGCTATATCGAGGCAAATGTTTATAAATAAGCAGCACACAGTTTATGGCAAATTTTATTTTATAAGCCTTGCAAACCGCTTCCATTTGTTTAGGTTTTAGAAAATGTCAGTGCAGGCACACAGCCACAAAGGAAGAAGGGAATTTTATTTGGTGACAAGAGAAGTCTTAATCTTTCAAGCTCTGATGATCTGACATCACTTAGTCCTTTGAACGAAGAATCAGGTTTGATCCTTCTGTCGTCTATCACATGTACTAAAACATAATAATTATTCCTTCAAACTTGCTGTGAAGAGCCACTCAGTCGACAAGAAGGTTTTGTTTAAAAGGAAAAGGGGTTTGGAATCCCAGGATAGAAAACTTTTATTAGTTATTAAGCACACATAAGCCTTAAGTTCGATTCCATGCATGACTGGGTTTGAAACCTCGCAGGATTGAGCAATTCTTTCTTTGCTAATACATTTTGATTATCTCCTCTGGCTATTAGGCTGAGACAAAAATACGACAATCCAGCTTGTCCAAAGGGCATGATTTTTTTCATTTAGTTCCAGTTTTTGTAACCAAAACTCTGAGTAATTAGCCCAAAATTAAGGGAAAACTAAAGAAAAAGGTTATCAAACTTCACTCATTGCATTTAAAAATGAACTTGCTTGCCCAAATGGGGACCAGGTTTTCTACAAGCCCTACACTGCACATGATGTCAAGCCAGGTCAGTGTCTCTAGTTTAGGAGTTTTTCAAGTTCTGTGGATCAGAAAGGGTCTCCATTGCACTTCTTGCCCTCTCCACGAGTAATTCTGTGATTTTTAGGTTAAATTAAATTTTTTCATACAACTCATTGTTTTCTAGTAAGTACCCTTTATCACTGTCTACATGTAGCACAACAAGCAGTTTTGTGTCTACAGTAATTACTATCAATAACTGTTCACACTCTAATGTGATATCTTCTATGGTCTGACACAATCATATCATACTTGCAGTGCTTAAGACAGTTGAAGCTCGTTATCAAGTGGGGGCATTCTATTCATGGGCAGGTACAAAGTGCATTTTTTACTTGACTCCTCAATTTTTTATATCTGCTAGAAAAGTGTCACATTTGTAGTTTTGCACTCTGTTATAATCTAATAAGTTACTGCATCCTATGAGAAAAACTATCATGACAATAACAACTGTACATGAAAATAAAAAAACTGACTGTAGACAGCCAGAATGATATTGTGTGGTCACTGGTTTTGGTCATATCATTACAACAGTTTTCAAATAAATCATACTATTGGGGAGAAATAGATTTTAAGTACAGTTTACAAAATGAGCGGGAGGGTATTATCAGGTTTAAAAAGCGTTTTTTTTGGTCTAAAATATTCGACATAAAGTTTAGCTGTGTCTTTATCAGATATAAAGACACTCGTTAAACATTTCTTTTTTTTTTTTAACTATTAATGAGTTTTGAATTGTACACATAGCCATTCCCCTTCTAGTAATTGTTTTTATACTGTGCGTTATAACCAAACAGTAATTAATAAGCATTGAATCTTTATTTTTGCTGATTAGGTGTACCTCTCATTGCTCTAAATCCATTTAAAGATGTGGAAGAACTTTATGATGGAAAGATCATGACAAAATACAAGGGAGTTAGTCCCACTGAAATAAAGGTTTGAGCAGTCAACTAGATCATCATTGGATAAATGAAATTATTAGCGCCAAATTAAAAGTAGCCATTTTTTAAAGTAATAACATTAATATTATGACAAGCAAAGTTAGCTGCATAGACAATGCTCCTCACACTAGCATCTCCTTTGGTGTGCAGCTCTTGCAATTTCCCCCAAATGGATCAGAGCTTGCTCGCAGGCTATTTTGAATTCATAATTAAGCAGTTTTCCTTTCATAGTCCCACTAGCCTGTGCCAGGCTCTCTGAGTTGTAGTAGGGATGTCAAAACAACAAGGTCAAGCAAAAAAAAGAGGCCGGTAATCTGGGGAAGGGGATGGTGGTGAGAAACGAAGAGCCTCTTCTCTCCTCTGATTGCTGCAAATTTCTTCCTTTGAGCATGGACCAGGCTATAGTCCCACCAAAGATTTAATTTGATCAAAAAATTCTGGGGCATTTTTATCATTTTAAAATTGTTAAATGATGGAAAATGAGGTGGGAATATAAAAATGGTAAAATTGAGCATTTGTGTGTGAGTAAGTTTGAATTGAAAAGTTTATAGACAAAGACAGGATAGTCCTCCAAGGTCAGTACCCATGTAGAATAACTCCATCTTTCTTTGATTTTTCACCATCTTTTTTTCATTTGCCTTCATGACAAATACATCACGCATCATGAAATGATATTTTTCATTTATTTTTTTTTATCCATATCAATTAAGGAGCTTCCACCTCATATATTTGCTGTTGGACAGAAAGCGTTTTGTGAAATCAAAAGAGATCTGGAAACCAGGAACCAATCCATTGTTGTCAGTGGTGAAAGTGGTGCTGGCAAGGTCAGTATAGGGATCAGGGAGGGAAAGTGGAATTTGTCTCCTTCATCATTCTTTCATTTATTGTCAAATCGAATGCGACGTAAAAGAGCCCACGCTACTGTTCGAAAAGAACCGGGAAAGTTTCCCCAGTGGTGTGGTCTACCTTTCACGCATCATTCATATCATGGGCTATGAAAATTGAATGGGTTACAGTGAGCTCATTATGGACTGATAGGGGCTGCCAGTGCAGTGGTGCCCTTGATGCTGCCGTCCGAGCTTACTGTTAGCATGTTCGTAAAGAGGGCACGTCTTGTTGTCCTCTAATCCACGACATTCCATTCCGTTCCAATTTGTTCAAGAATATTGATTGTTTCTTTTTTTCCGAATAGACGTGGACGACTCGTAGTTTAATGCGTTTCATTACGGACGTGGCAGATACCAGGTATGAAGTCTTCGACGTTGGCTTACAGTAAATTGTTGGAATTTTTGCAATTCTTCTGAAATTTCATACATCAGCATGCACGATTACGATAAATTACTTACATACATCACTGCCAGTTTAATTGCAAGCCTTCTCTAATTTATCGGCTTTCAAAAAGACCCAGCACTTGCGTGGAGTTCCCGCTGGCATCAGCAACGTCATGGTTGCCCTCATTGATCACTGGAATTGGCTTTCCTGTGCAAGAGAAGACAACCTAGAGATCCGTCGAGTAATCCATGTAAATGCGAAAACTGGATGGTTTATTCTGAACAAATAAAATCCATCTGTTCATCCTAGACAGATTTTGAAGTCAATAATCCGTCTCGTGCTACGTTGATTTGGAGTCATTTACCGCACAATTTTAAAACTGCTATAAGCTAAAAAATCTGGGGGTACTGAATTGAAGACGTCCCTATAACAAGAAGAACCAAGAGCGTAGCACATACGTGGCGTATGTGCGTACAGCTAAAATCTGGAAAAGAATTTTTTTATTTTCTTTTTCTGAAATCAGTCACTCCTTCAAAATCTCAACGGTTATGCCCCTGTAGCCTGTTATTAAAACTATATATAATATCTGCAGTGAAAAAAAAGTTGTTCATCGAATCATTTATTCAGCACTATTTATAACCAAATCTGAAAGGTATTTCAGACAAGGTGGCTGCCAAAATCCAACTTCGTCGTGATTATAGGTATTTCCAGCTTAAATGTAATATTACGATTAACTGTAATTGTTATGATAGGATCGAGGAAACTACAAACGTTAGCAGGATTGAGCAAAGGATACTTGATTCCAGTCCAGTTTTGGAGGCTTTTGGAAATGCTCAGACTACAAGAAACAAAAACAGCAGTCGGTTTGGAAAATATATTCAACTTCAGTTTGATCGGTGAGTCAGCAAAGCCCGAAGATTAGTATTCTGGGAAGTATGTTCCCCGAATTCCATCGGAAACTCAGGGAAGTCATTAACATACTGTCCTTTCATATCACGCTTCTCACCATGTTTTGTTCTTTCAGATTTATGATATCACAAGAATTTTACTTATTAATATTATCATGATTTCTTTTTGATGAGATTTAGTTCTTTTCTTGAAGCATAGATCAAATAACTCATTGCTAAATTTTTTAAGCATTGTAAATTAACTTCCAGGAGCCAGAGAATCATTGGCGCTACAGTAAGCACATATCTGTTGGAGAAGACGAGAGTCGTACATCAGGGGCAAGGAGAAGGAAGATTCCACATATTTGACCAGGTGCAAACTTGCTGTGTTTTTACAGACAGGAGAAAGCAGGTTTCTCTCGCAAGCCTTGTCATATATCGTTGCGCCCAAACCTCTCATACAAAGCGCCCAGCCTGGGTTACTTTCATGTAATTATATAAACACCAATGAAATACCTGTTAAGCTTTCGCGCGAAAAAATGTTATCTCCACACGTGAAAAGAGCCCCGCTGCTAATGGCTACATAATAAATCGCGCTTTTCATAGCCTTTAAATATTTTTTCAAAACTCGAAGAGAGATTTCCTATCTCGCCGCGGCCATGTAATATCTTTTATTTTATTATATGTAATCAGAAAAAAAAATTTGACCTTCAACATTATATCTATAACTTCCTAAAGCCTAGCCTGCGTGCAGACGATAACTAAACTCTGATTAGTACCGTCTGCGAAGCAGCGCAGAGATCCTTGTTCTGAACCCCCAACGGACTCAACGAATTACCGGAAGTGCGTTTCGAATTTCCCTTCAACCTGATTGGCCATCACGACAAACAAAACAAAGGCCTTTTTTAACTGGCCAATCGTGGCGCGTACTCAAATCTGGGTACACAGCTGGAAGTCCAGAACAAGGATTTCGGCGCTGTTTCGCAGACGGAGTTAACCAGAGTTTAATTTCGTCTGCGCGCAGGCTACCTAAAGCCTTTCTATGAATGAACCTTGTTTCAGATTACTTCCAGTAAACATCAAGAAGCGACCTTGAAAAACAAAGAATCTTCATTTGTTGGTAATTAAATAAGTCTTTCGTTTTCACTTTACATAGTAAATGATTACTGAAATCAAAGTCCTATTTTGATTTTTTTAAGAGCAGCAGAGAGGTCTCAAACGTTGTAACAAATTCCGAACGGGGACCTTAAGATCCGACGGCGACGTCCGGTCTGCCCAGTTCCTAGGCAGAAGGCCTGGGCTGAAGACGCCGTACAGGGACTAGGCAAGGCGACAGCGACAAGAGCGTCAAAAAAAACAAAGCAAAACAGCAACATTGCACGTCCGCCACACCCTTTTTGTATTGCACGACTACGACGTGAAAATTCCTAATTTTGCGTTTCATGGAGGACGTAAACAAGCCACGACGAAATTTTCTTTCTCTTCCTAAACTCACCCTAGTAGTGTAGAAACCTGTGAAACTCACGAGTGACGTAAAACGATGAATACAAAGAAGCCACTGAGAAGACAACGCAATAGAGCCAGGGAAAATACTAGCTTGAAAGCAAAGGAAAACTTCACAGGTTTTTACACCGAGGTAAACCCCCAAGCGAACTTGGATGGCGTTCTTACAGTGTAGGAATTCAGCCACAGAAGAGACGCTGAGTTCGCCTACATTTGACAAAGTCAGTGAGTTGGAATAATCGTGATGAAGACTGAAAAAAAAAAACGAATTCACTTTTTAAGCAACGCTTTGGCTGCTGTCTCCGTCCTCTCATCTTAGGGTCCCTAATTTTGAGAACAGAAGGAACTCCTTATCAGTCTTCGGTTTTTGTATTGTTGTGACTAAAAACTCCCTGTTCCCTCTCACGGCGATACGACCGTCTAATAACCCAGGCGTAGTTAATCGATAGAAAGCGATATCAGAAATCAATCGATTTAATCCGCCGATTGTTATCGATTGATATCGGAATCGAAGTCACAGAAAAAATAATTTATCAGTTTTTATCCATTAACAAAAATCGATGACAATCGATAGTAATCGATAACAGGCAATAATCTTGAAGAGTATATGGTTCAGATATTCTGAACAGACCGGCTTCAGCTTAACACATTTAATTTCAGCCTGTTGCTCTTTCATCACCTAATTTGAAGGCCCTAATGATGCACGAAGTCGGTGCCCTTCCCTTTTTTCTTGCAATTTTAAAACAGGGGTTTCAATAAGCACCGACGGCCGACGAAACGCGTCGGCTACTTTGCTCGTAGAGGTCGGCTTCTTTTTTCTAAAAAGAAGAAGCAACTAGTTTGAATAACGTTGTAAACAAAATAATTTATCATAAAATGTGATAGCCTACGTAACAAGCGTTTCCGTCGGCGGTTTAGGAGCAAAGAACGAGGAACGAGAGTCAAAGACCGAGCGAAAAATGGCACAAGTAAAAGAGCGGGGAGGGGCCCCACTTTCATTTTTTGGCTCTTGTTTCATTTCTCGCGCGGCCAAAACCGAGAATCCCGTTCCTCGGTCCTTCTTTGCTCCGAAACCAAACGGAAACGTTTGCTACGCAGGCTAAAAATCTGAATGAAAACGTAATTATGATGTGTTTTCATAAAGGCCCACTGGTTTCATGTGAATGACATATTTCAGTCATTTTTTTCACAAGTTTCTTTATAGGTTTACGCTGAATATGTTCACGTGCAAAAGTGGGTAATTTAGTGTTCATGATTTGTCCATTGCTTGCAGGGATTGATCGTGTGACTGATAAATTGAAAGCTACATTTTCTTGAAACCCCTGGAATTAACTGGCTAACAATGTTCAATGTAAAAACGCCTGAATTTACAATTTATCCTTTCGCCTACACCTTATTTTTTAGCCCTCCAGGAAACAAAACAAGCTTTGGAAAACATAGGAATTGACAATCACCTGCAAAGCGAAATATTCAAGGTATAGACTTGAGTTAACTAAGGACTATCATAAAACACTTTCTTCTGTTCTTTTTCTGACTTCCTCTCAGCTACTGGAAGTTCAAATTATTGTGTTTCAATTTTCCGTGTTTTCTAGGTTTTGAACGGAGTTCTCCATCTTTTTGATATTGAGTTTTTTGATCCTTTTTCAAATATGGCTGAAATTTGTACTGTTACCGACGATCATGATAAAGGTTAGTGTTCGTCTACTCCCTGTAGAGTAATCTAGATAAGGAACTACCAAGATATAATAAGAGAGATGAAGTTTTTTACTGTAACAGTTTTTGTTCTTTCGTTTCTAATCTATTTTTCCGTTCCCCTTTAAAAAATTCTCTATTGACCTTCACACACAGGAGAATCCATTCAGCCAACGAATACATTTACGTCCTCAATTTTTCTAACCCTCTTTTTACAGCAATGGCTCGTGTCTGTGAATTACTGGGAACTGAAAGCGAGTGGCTAAAGCGGTGCTTATTCTTAAGAAGAATAACAGCGGGCTCCACAAGAGAGGAGTTTATGAAGAAGTGCTCACCATCCGAATGTGCAGAGAGAAGAGATTGTATGGCTAAACTAATATACTCCAGGTAGAGTTTTTAGGGAAGAGGGGCTGTAAGCCTCCTTTCATCTATAAACATTAACTACGGTAACTTTACATGCTGGTAAAATGTTTGGACTTAACTAGACAACTATTTTCTGTTTTTATAAGCAATGCATGCAGCTGTTTGGCTTGTCAGTGTCAACCTGGCTAGTACACTGTTATGCCAGAAAGGAGCAATTCAGTTAACAGCTCCCTCATGATATCGTATTTTTTTTTTCAAGTGTCTAACCCAAACCAACTTACGCAACTGACAAGCCTCGTGAAATGCTAAAAGCCATGCAAGAAAAACACGGCTACTCGCAGGGCAAAATGTTTAGTAGTTTTCTGAAAACGCCCTGTATGTTCCTGATTAGCAAGATGATTTTTTACGATGCAAATCGTTATCCATATTCTAAACGTCCTAATACATGTCTATCCTAATTTGATGTTTCCTTTGTTCTTTTGTAGATTATTCGACTGGATTGTTGACTTCATAAACTCTTCCATTAAAGCACCTGAAGAGCTAAAACACTCATTCATAGGTAATAACGAAATCATCGTTTCTTTTTCGTTTCTAATACTTATTTCTTGAAAAACAAATGATCAAAAATGTATCATCCAAACAAACCTTGCCCCATCGCTAGATAAAATTCCTTCTTATGTCAAAATGATTTTTTTGTCTAGTCTCTCTTCCTAATTTTCAAATGCTCAATTATGTTGCAGGTCTTCTTGATATTTACGGATTTGAAAACTTCAACTTCAACAGTTTAGAGCAGTTGCGTATAAACTACGCCAACGAAAAGCTCCAGCAACATTTCGTGAATCACTTCATGAAGAGACAGCAGGTTAGTTGTTATCATGTCGCTGAATAAGAAACAAAAGTATTTTTAATGACTAGGTTAGAAATCACCGAGTATGCGAGATGAAGCGCAAGCCCCGCAAGCGCCACATAATTTTTAATCACAAGAAAATCCTTAACACCTGTCAGTATTTTCTGGGGAGTTAAGGTGAGCTTGGTAACGATATGCTCTAGTATATGTGGTCCTTTCGTTCAATGACGGGGACGTCAAAAACGCAACAGATCGAGGGTGGATTCATCTGGAGCATATACACGCGTATAGCTGTCGCATTTGCCAACTGGAATTTTTTGTATTGTTTTTAGGCTTAAAAACACTTTAAAATGCCAGCAGGCAAAAGCGACAGCTATACGCGTATTAATCCACCCCGAATAACCAAATCTACGTACAACTCCGCTGCACGTGCATCATGCTTTTTGGTACATTTCGTCGCTGTCACTGCCAACTACAGCTTGAAACTTTTCAACGTGACGTACTATAGAAGACGTCAACACTCGACGACAAATTTTTCTTTCTGCTTTATACTCTGATGTGCTCCCTGAAAATTCAACTCCAGGAAACTCACCTCGAAATAACCGTCATAAGTTTTAAAAGAACGCGGTGACACTTCATAGAGACCTTATAAGATACTAGTGGTGGGAATCGGTTGAGATTTCACAATCGATCGTCGATTATAATCGGAAAAATCTACCAGTAAGCATTCCAAGATTACATTGCAGCAGTTCAAGTGAGACTGACACGAAATCAACAAAACACACGTGCCACAAACCTTTGTTGGCGTATTTCTTTCTGCAGAGCCTACAGATTACCTTCGTCATATCCAAGTTTTCCTTTGTTTTGGGCCCTTCCTTCAGTTGATAAAAACTAAAATATTCCCGCACGTTTGACCTGGCGTTTCCAGGATAACGACAGATCTCCAACTCGGCCATTTCAGCCGCCATGTTAGACTCGTCAGCAATATGTAAGGGAGGCAGGTCTGAGAGAGGACCCTGGAAATCGCTGCGATGTTGTTTCGTAATACCTTTCATTCGCTAGTAATAGTAGTGACACTACAAACGCGAAACAGTAAGCTTGTAATTTATGTTTTGGTTCAGTTGTTTACGAAATACAAAGCAGCTTAGCATGCCACATCTTTCAAATAAGCGTGGCGTATTTGAGGTGACAACAACGCAGCGCGCAGGGTACGCAAAGGTAAACACCTTCAATCTTAGATTATATCTGCTGTTATGACTTAGAAGTTAGAAGTCCACGAAAAAGACAACTCACACCAAGATATTAAACGTACATTTTTATTGATTTTAATACTTTTATTTGTCACCAATAAATTTCCGCGACAATCGATTATGAAAAAAGCATAATCGATTGTCGCGTCCCTTGAACTTTTCGATCAACTTTCGATTATAATCGATCATCGGCCCACCACTAATATTTACGGTATCTTTAGAGGGTACGACATATTGGTAAATGGTCTAGCAATTCTTTTTCTAAAATGAGAATAAGTACAGTCAATTGCGCCAATCATAGAGTACTATAAAATGAGTTCAAACGGCGGGTGGCCTGGCGATGCTGGGGCAGACAGATTTCTAAGTCCTTAATTCGTGTAAAACAGTGTTGATTCGGTGCTTATTTCTGCTATAGGAGGAGTATCAGAAGGAAGGCATTGACTGGTCGTTTCAAGATTTTGTTGATAATCGGCCATGTTTGGATCTCATTGAGGGAAGAACCAGTGTCTTTTCATTAATGAACGAGGTAAAAAAGTTGTGTCGATGCTGAAGTAGAGAAACCGCCCCTCCCCGCACGCGCTTCATTTCAATTAAGAAAGCAAGACTAGAAAAGTTACATGAAGAGACCACCAAAGGTAGCTCAAACATGCTTGCGTGCCTTCTTCAAGCAAACTGGTTACCAGCAGCAGTATAAACAATTCCCTGTTCTCTTGCGCATTATAGATTTGTGTCGCATGCAGCTTGCGACATTTCGTCGTTTTGTGTTGTTGGCGACCCTTTTGGCTGTAAAATATGTTTTGAACTGAAGGACCTAGGAGGAGTTGAACCGGCCTCTTGGCTGGGCGTTGAGCAGACACTTGTAGCTTTGAACGGACATTTGGCAGAACCTCCCAACTCATTTAAAAAACTCAAGTGTGTCTGCATTTCCAAAGAAAATGATACGCTTTCCACTGTCAGAACAACAAATGAAATAATTTTTCGTCTTGTTGATGAAGCAACATAGTTCATGTAAATAGAAGTCCTTCCTACTTTGTTTTGTATTTCCTTTGATTTTACCTGCTACCTAGAACCTAAATTGTTCAGCGAGCTAACAAGAAAACCAACTGGTTCATTTAGCTTCCTAGCTTGCACATTATTCTCGTTACATTCAAAATATCTTGTAATGTAATTAAATTTCCGAGAATGTTTAACCATGTACATTAACAAAGCATAATAAAGATTATTATTATTATTATTATTATTATTATTATTATTATTATTATTATTATTATTATCATCATTATTATTATTATTGTTGTTCCACTCGTGGAAGGGGCGTTGAGAAATGATCTTAACTCTACTGTCAGTGTGTGAAGACTATATGAGGAAACAATGTTACAGCGAGAAAATAAGGCTGGGATTTCAGGGAATGAACGATCTTCAAGTTACAGAGCGCGTGTCGCCTTACCATCACAGGAATACCAAAGTATTACTTTATTCCCAGGAGTGCCGCTTAAAGAGAGAGTTGGACACGAAATCGTTTAGTACACGCCTGGAAGCTTCATTGGCTCAGTTCAGGCATTTTACTTGCCCGCGGTTTAGAAGTGAAAATGAGGAGTTTACGATTCATCATTTTGCCGACAGCGTCTCTTATCAAGTCGAAGGACTTGTTAAGAAAAATAAGGTACGTGATTATTCCTTAAGCAAATTAACTCTTGAAGAAATTCATTAGGTAAAACAAGGCTAAGTGCGTATGATCAGCACTGTTACTTAGTTTGCTTGAGGAAAACTGTTCATTCTTATATTTACTACAGTTGTTCAAGGAATCGATCATAGAACGACAACGTTTTCTTGAATTACTCGCAAAATCCGACGACATGAGGATTTGAAAGAACTTTCCGAAGGCCGTTTGCGAGAAACCAAACATTAATTAAGAAAGATGACAGCAGTTTGTTAAGCTTTGTTTATTCTCTTAAGGACGTTGTAGACTCACTATGGTTGAGATTTCTTTTCCAATTGTCAGTTTTCTTATAAATTGCCCAGAATTAGGCAACACACCTAGAACCGCTATGCCCCCCGTTGACAAAACTGGGCATTATTATAAGTACACGTAGAAAATAGGCAAACTCCTACACAACAACCACTTTGGGTAAAAAGTCAAAAGGCTGTTGTGGAGATTTTCAAAAGAGAGTGGACGGACCTGTTGTGGTCAAGTCTTCACCTTGGTTTATATTTTTTTTTCCTTTGCTAATGTGTGGTAGCGAGTTTGAAATAAGAGAGCAAAAAAATATACATCAACTGACGATAAAATTGAACCGCAACATTTATCTAACTTGACATATTTATAAGATTGTAACTCATCGCACTCTCAAATTTTCATTTCTTTCTGTTGACGCCGCAAAGGATTTTATTCCTCCTGAGGTTGTTGAGCTTCTACAAAAAAGCACGAACACGTTGATGCAGGAAATTTTTCGATTCCAAGAGAACCAGGACAAAGGAGATGAAAAATTTGAGGTACGTTTCTTGTTTTTGAAAGGGAAGCATTTGTTGAGATCCTTTAAACACATGAGTCAGTCGATCTTTCATGTAACGCTAAAGGTATAAGATGAACGCGATAGCTTGTCATATGCACGTTACACTTTAACCGCGATCTGTCCACGCTATTAGCTGTCATTTTAAAAAGCTAAAACTTTTCTCGCATCAAAAGAAATTTGGTTAGCAAGGGATGGCACAGTGGTGAAAGCACTTGCCTCCCACCAACGTGACCCGAGTTCGAATCCCGGCGTCGACGCCACATGTGGGTTGAGTTTATTGCTGGTTCACTCCCTTGCTCCAAGAGGTTTTCTCCGGGTACTCCGGTGTTCCCCTCTCCACTTCCAAATTCCAAATCGACCTGGAACGCACGGACACGTTTCAGCGAGTTCTTTATGAACTCCTAAGTACCCCGTGGTTAAACAAATAACAATTTTCAAAATAATGGTCCAGTTTTGTTATTTAAGACTATATTTAGGCACATTGAAACTGTTTCCTGTCGACTGTTGATACGGATAGCAAGGATGGAAATGGATTGAGACTTAAGAAAAGGTTGGGCAAACCTTTTCAAGTTTTAATACAAAATGTGCAAAACTCACAAAGTATATATTATGGCTAGTGTCCCTGATGAAATCTGTTTTATATCGTCTTCATAACTCTACAGGAGCATTTTTTTATGGGTAAAGGCACTAAGTAATGACTTTAGCACAGAACTGACCTAAAACAGCAATATCCATGTGACAAAGCCCCTTTAAATTGTTGACAAACTTTTTAAGCATGTACGCAGGAGTTCACCGCCTCACCTATAGATTGAAATCTTCGATCTCTCGCTTGGCGAAAAGTTGAGCTTTTTTAAAAGAATATAGGAAAGATAAACTCGGACCAATGTTTAAAAAAAATTCATGAGAATTATTATACTTTACGATTTAAAAGGGAAAGCAATGGATCTGAGAAACTGTGAACATCTTCGGGAACTTTCAGACTCGGATATGTCGGGTCCTTTACAAAAAATCCCAGTGCTCTCACTCTTCGGGAAAATCTCCCGCCATTGACACGTAAGAAGTTGGCAGGTATATATTTGATGAAACTTACATGTAAGATGTAACTCAACGATCAGTCTTCCACTTTATTACAGGACGGAGTAATGACAACTAAGGAGAGTTCCAGACATCGCCAGTCGACAGTTACTGTTGTTCGCAAATTCAAGGTACACTGACGGCGGCTCAGTAAAGGTTCCAAGTGTGCTTACCTCCCCGGACATCCGTCGGGCATTTTCCCACTGTGGGGCATTTGTCATCAGATCTACCCAGGAGTAGGGATGGGGATTAGGCCATTTCCGAGTTGCCCAAAGCTTCTGTTTCAAAGAGAGGCTAAGTGTAATGATATTCAATTCTCATGCCAATAAATCTCATTTTCACCAGAAACGTTTAGCACTTAGCTTCGAAAGGGAGATATTTTGGAACTCGGAAAACGCCTATTTGTCATTGTTTTCTTCAAACCCAAATACTTTGAGTATTTAACGCATGACCAGCTTGTCCCACCGTGACAATTATCCGGGAGGGGGCCGCGGGTCAACACTTGATACTGAGGGACCGTTGTGTTCAGGCCTAGTATGATGTGCTGATAAGCTACCGTATTTATGACTTGTTGAATGTTCTTTTATGTTTAGGTCTCACTGGACAGTCTAATGTCCACGCTGAGGTCTACAAGTGTTCACTACATTCGCTGCATCAAGCCAAACGCTGACTGCCTACCTCAGGTGTTTGATAGGAAACAGGTATTTTGTAGCCCTGCACTAGGGTTTTCCAGTTACCAGTACTACATGCATTAACCCCTGTTTGCCTGTTCTTCTTACGCAGTTAGATAAAACCGAACTGACTCTAAAGCGTAGGTTAAATAGCCTGCGACCCAGACGGAACTAATCTTCCGGTTAAGTCCTTCTGCAAAACAGTGCCGAAATCCTTTTTCAGTTGGGGCCCCCCACCAGTGCACCAGGATTTGAGTGCGCGCTATGATTGGCCTGGTAAAAGGCCATTGTCGATTTGCCAATCAGGTTGAACGAAAATTCGAAATGCTCCGGTAATTCGTTGAGGCCGTTGTAGGCCCAAAACAAGGATACCGGCACTGCTTGGCAGAACTTACTAACCGGGCTGAGATTACGTTTGCGAAGCAGGCCCTAACTCGTCCCCAGTTGTCTCTCTTTGTATTTCCTTTGTGGCGCGAGAGGTGTGATGGAAAGGAGGAAAGCGAGGGAGAGAGAGAGAGAGGGTCTTCCTTCCTTTTCCCTTCCCATCACCCCCTGCTTCCGCAGCGCGCGTTACGCGAAGACGACTGGGGAAAGTCAAACGTAGACGCTGGCCAAGGTTGAACCGTACACACATTTATCTCGGGGTTTCATTGTATCATGTTTCATAATGGAAGGCTAAGTAAGAACGAGTTGACGAGAGCTAGTTTAGCTCTGTTTGACTGCAATTACTGTTTACACTTATATCCATCTAAAAAGGTTATGGCTCAACTGAATGCTTGCGGTGTGGTAGAGACAATTAAAATCAGCGCGGCTACTTATCCGATCAGGTGAGTCAATTACTTGACTAGGTGTTTTAATCGCGAAAAATAACTTTGAACCTCCAAGCGGGATGTCTCAAGCTAACCTAAGTTTAATGTTTTTACTTCTAGGATCTCGCACCATGAATTTCTTAAAAGATACAGCCCCCTTTTGAAACTTTCCAACCCTACGACACGCAGCCATTTGTCACACCCGCTCAGCTCTCCGAAGAAAGCCGACGCTTCTCCTCGATGTCCGACGGTGGAACGTCTAAAGCGTCGATCTCGTAGGCGTCACCGAAGTAGCTACGACCACACGAGGCATATTTGCCGATCAATTCTAGAAATTGCTGAGACTGACATTGATGAAAGCAAAGAAAATACCCAAGGAAAATTTCTCAAGGGTGTGAAACTCGGGAGATCGAAGGTTTTTATCCAAGAAGATACGGTACGTTTTGGGGGTGTCCAACCCCATATTACCTTTTATTAAAGTAGAATCTACAATGATTATGTTAAATTTGCATTATTCATCACTCAGGTAGAGGGAATAACAGTGATATTTCATTTTTCGACTAAAGTCAACTCTCCATTAGTGGAGGACACTAATTTGGGGTTGACACTTAAGTAATATATCCTAGCCCTTAGAGAGTCGAGAAAGAGACATGGTTTCCACAGGTCAGGAAAAAGTCGGGGGATTTCTCTCCGAGTCAGGGAAAATTTGAGCCCTTGAAGGAAGTCAGGGAGAAGTGAAATTTTAAGAGTACACAGTCATTCTTTTCCCTCTACCTTTACTGATATCTTACATTTAGAATTCTTTTGTAAATTTTACAGGCATGAATCGTGTTGCATTGGTAGAATATTGTTCGTGATGTTGAACAACATCCCTTTCGCACGTTATGATAAGGCCATTCCTATTATTTCATGTACACTACATGTGACTTGCTGTAAGCATAAATAAGGGAGTATAGGGGATGGCTTTGAGGGGAGGGTTGAGTCTATTTTCAGGACTAATTGGTGAAATTGTCAATTCAGTTAGGGAAATTTTACATTTGTCAGGAAAACGTCAGGGAATAGTCAGCGGCATGGACCAACTCTAAGCGTTCCTCTTAAAGAGGTGTCCGTTGAGATAAAGTCAACTGTGTTTCATGGAAATCACATTTCAACTAGAGAAAAATGTACATAGATTAGCTTAGATTATTCTCTCTTGACAATTTCAAGTAAACAGTTAGTTTACTTTTTTTGTGTGAATCCGACCGTTTGGATGATCAACTAGTAATGGCTTCTTTTTGCTTGTTCTTAACTATTAACTGACTTTTTGTTGTTGTTGTTGTTGTTGTTATCATTAACACTATTTTTCCCTGTTTTTAGATGGAAAGGCTGGAAGCAGTTCGAAACAGGTGCCTGATCAAATCAGTGGTAGTCATCCAGACATGTTGGAGACGCCATCAAAAGCGCTTGACGAGAAGAAGGGTAAACGCAGCCGTGAAAATTCAATCTGGTAAAATTTTACCATTTTATGTACCACGTCAGATTTACCCTTGAAGTTGGTTAAATAATGAAAATATCAGTGTCTGCATAAATTTACATCAGTCACATAATTACCCCTATTTACATTTAACGTTAGTGTTTTCATTAGTGGTTTCTCTCTTCTACAAGCAGTCTGACAGAAATTATTTCCTGTTTTCAGTGTGGCGAGGGTGGAAGGCAATCAAAAACTTCAAGAAGACTTTAAAAGCCATAAAAGTTATTCAAAACCACGCGAGAAAATGTTTGATGTTAAAACGACTCAATGAGCATAAGCGCCTTTTAACAGTGGACAACTATAACCTGGAGAAAGACTTCATCAACGAAACCATCCTCGAAAGAAACTCGGTCTTGACAGAAAATACTTGTATACTCTTAAGACATTTGTCAGTTTCGCCATTATTCCCAAGTGGCGAAGTCATGAAGAGGCATGCCCTTCCAAGTTTAGTTTCGTCTACTTCAGGATCTTGGTTTAACCCGTTTAAGACGAATTGCGACGAGTTTAGTCAAAACAGCTTCTTCTGGCTCTACAACAAGGAATTGTCATTCAATTTGACCAGAAACACGATAAGCCCTCTCGCTGCGTTGATCTCTAACTTCAGTCAAGGAAAAATACCACCACAAGCTTGTACCGTGGACAAACAGCTTTCTTCAAAGCAGATGGTCAATACATCATCAGCTATAATATCACGTCGAAACATTGAAAAGGTAATGCCTTTGCTAATTTCGTTTTCATCCTGTTTCAAGATATTCTGCCGTCTATATGCTGTTTTCTTTTCGTACAAGTTAACCTACGTTAAGATGCCACTGTTCGTCTGAAGAAAAAATGTTCCACCTCAGGGTTCTCAATAGAAGGCGGCACCCGGCGATTGATCGCCGCTTACTTTCGGATTTATAGCCGCTTACTTTGTGTTTAAGTCGCTTTTCTTTGCTTTGTTTTGACACCTCTGGCTTTGCTGAAGAGCCTCCTACTTTATCAGTGATCACCTCCAACTTAAAAATCTATTGAGAACCCTGCACCTTCTTTAAAAAAAGGTTATTGTAAAGGCCCCCTTATTTTACGTCTGTCGGCTCAAGATAGTCACTGATTATCGGACTAACAAGCCTAAAGCCAACTGAGCACTAATTTTCCTCCTTCCCCCTCTCTCTCCGTCACTGCTCCGTTTTACAGGTATTTTAACGCCACTTAAAGCTACACGGAAGCAGTCGAAGCAAGGATTTGAGGTTGCACCCGACTGTGTCCAGTCCTTCCTCTCTGGGAGATGTGAAAGCAAGCAGCCAATCAGTTAGACTGTATATCATTCACTAATTTTTCTTCGATGAACGAGCGAACTGACGCGAGTGTCAGCGGAGCCGTACGGGCCAGCACCTAGCTAGCGACCTTTGAATTCTCTACCAGCCCATGATTATACTTTATCTTTTCTTATCTCGCGCCCCTGTCCCACTCCTCGTAGCAAAGGCGAGCAAGCTGACTTGTTCAGGGTAGCGCCAGGGTATCTCCCTGTGACAGAGCTGGAGAACACTCCTCTGACAGGCAACGTTAAGTACATTCTGAGAAATGTTTATATCATTCAAATTTTTCAGGTTCCTGTTACGTTTCACTGCAGAGGTACCCCTCTTCCGCATGCCAGCACCAGACCTCTTAAAGGACCTTTGACTAACTCGGTAAATAATAAACTAACGTGTACCCCGATAAATACAAGACTAAAATTTTCCAAAAACAAAAAAACAGACATCTAGACTGCGAGTTGATCTGACTGGGAGAGCCAAATTGTCTATATGGGAAAAAAGTTATGCCGGCTAGGACGATGAGCCTACCAGGGTGACTTGGCTAGGCGGGTCACCCTACCTCTAGCCAAGCCAACTTCTTGTTTCTCATGTAAACGGTTTGTCAATTTTTGAAGGAAATGTAGGAAAATTTGGCTTACCCCCCAGGGTAGCTCGGGAAGGCAAGTGACCCTTCTATCCGGGACATTTTTTGTCTCAATATAAGAGGGACCTCGTATCGCACCCGTCAGGAAAATCAGTGAATTTGAAGACAAAGAAAGGACATTGTCTCTGGTTAAGTTTCATAATCATTTTTTTTTCTAACCCTAGGCAAAATAAAAATGTAGTATATAAAATAGCCTTCTACCCACCGACTGAGCTACCAAGTTGAATGCCCTCTGCCTCTTAATCTCACACACCAAGCATGAAAATCTTTTTTTTCAAGAATATGTTTTAAACTACTGATGTACTTTAAGATTATGTATGTGTGACAGCGAAGTGCACAACCTCTGCTGCCAAGTGGCGTCATATCTCGGGACGTGGCCGACTAAATTGAAAGTACAGAGTTGGTACGAGGTTCCTTTATAGAGGCCCGAAAAGTCTTTCACATTGTTGGAAACACTTTCAGTTGGTTGAAACACTAAAAAGCAGTGTCACTGGGAGTGAAAGGCAAATCCAAGGTTATTAATTCCCGAAAAAAGTAGAGAACAAGGGATCAAATTCAAGGCGAAATGGCGGTCATAAAAATGCCCAATACCCGGGCGCGACAACCAACAGTACTAGCCATAATGGTAACTGTCATAGTCCAGCTCCCTCTTCTGCCCATCAAGTCAAGCAGACTTATTATTATCGTTACCATTATTATTATAATTATCATTATTATTAGGATTATCATTATTATTATTAGGATTAGTAGGGGCTTTGAAATCGATAAGGAACTAGCGCGATTTTAGTCTTAATACTTTTAATATTTATCACATTTAGTATTAGTATTTTTTAAATTCTTCTCCTAATATTCCTAATATTCTTATTCTCTTCCATTTACTAGTTTGTTCTGCATTTTATATAGCTTTCCTCTTATCGACTTTGTAACATTCATCTGGTACCCGATATATTTGCAGGCTTCCGATATTCAGGCGTGTGGCATGGTATAGTAACATTAGAAAAAATATATATTATTTATTATTATACCGTAATTGTTATCATTTTCTTTTGCAGGGGCTAGCTGGTATCAGTGACATGTTAGATTGAGTGTGGCTCCAAGACAGTGCATGGGTGACCAAATTCGTAAAACTGAAAATGAAATGAAAAAGGAAAATTTGCAACCGTAAGGTGTAAGCGTCGTTTCAAACTGGACAAGAAAAAATAACCGAAATTAAAGAAATATAAGAGTAAACGTAAATTAGAACTCCTCGAGCGTGCATAAGTCGAAAGAACTGTTTCAAGTCTTAAAAGTAACAAAGATTTTGATAAAAGCAGAAAAGCTTCACTTAAATCAACTTCCCATTTCGTTTCTTGGGTTCTTCCTATTATTCTTTCCTCTACTAGTCATTGGTACCAACTTGGGAGCGACAATTTGCCTTTTTTAAGCTCGAATGAGGTCGACGTCCTCGTTATGGTCTTCGTTAAATTAAGGAGCTAAGTCGCTAGGGTTAAGGGTAATTTGTTTGGAGGTTTCATTAAAAGGGTAAAAATGGTCGTAAACGTTTTACTATTTATGTCAGTGTCCATTGTTTACATGGAAGTTTCCCCCGAAACGGGTTTCAAATTTTTTCTTCCCCTTGGGCGATTTATCGCTGGGTAACCGCAAACATGAAAATGATCCAAATCCACAGGGAGCTCAGCCCAAGCTTGTTTCCCCAAGAGGGAGATTTGGAGAAAAGGCTTCGAGTAACCACACTTATGTGTATTCTCTAACATGTAGTTGCAATCAGATAAAACCTTGGGCTTTTTTTCACAAATCTAAGTCATTTATAGCTAAATTTTTCTGTTGCTGAAGGGCAGCGAGCAAGTATTCTGCCACCCTTTCGAATAAATGAGGATGTATTTAGTTATAAAACGCGTAAATAATGAGAAAATATATATGCAAATAAAGCTAGTAAGTAACTTTTTTTGGGTACTGTTCATCAATTTCTTGGTGCCAAAACCTATCTGGTAATACTATCATAAGTCACCAATAATCATCCTACGTCTAGTATTTGAATCGTCACTGAAACGAATTCGCTTTCTACTTCAAAATATTCTCTATTTGCCATCTTGACAGATGACAGAAGGCGGGAAATGAATTACCTCGATTTGGTGAGCGTCCGTGTTTGACGAATGCTAGTCACCAGGCTATTCAAACTCAGAACAAGTGGCAGAAATGAAACGCATCCAACAATTCGAACTGACAGAAAATACATTAGAAACTAAACAGGGATGCGAAGCATTCGTCAGCAATCGAAATTTCAGAAAGCGCCCCGAAACTCGACACAAACCGCAAATCATAATGAAAAGAAAATTCTGGTAATTCGAAAATGTGATTAGACAAAAAATATTGAGCCACACAGACCTGATATTCTGGCAGAAAAGAATTCAAAAGTAATGGAAGTCGATATACATTATCTGCAGAAAATTCAAACAAATGGAAATTGCAGAAAACTGATCACGAACCGTTAGAAAATTCAAACAGACGGAAAGCTCAATATGATGCAAAATTAAATAATAGGTAACAAAAATCAAAACTTAATGACGGTAATCACCCACTCAACTCACTTAATAAAAGCATGTAAATTTCCTGGGCACGTGCTTCAATTTCGATTGCGCGCGTTTATTTCATATCTTGTGTTTGTCTTAGCCTTCGTTTACAGAACGGAGCTCTAATTCCAGCTGCGCACAGCGCCCCCTCCTGGCTGACCCCCGTACATTAACATTTTTTTTGGCCTTGGATGGCAGATTCCCGTGGGTGGGGACTTTTGAGCTGTCAAATCCCCCTCGGTGAAGACGAAAAATGAGGGCAAATGCCCCGTCCTCCGTCACCTTGTACAGTCGAATAGTGCCATTTAAGCATTTTAATGTGCGATTTTTCTTTTCAATTAACGTCTTCCATATTAATAGCGCTAGGATTCTAATTAAGACTGCACGCCACGACGACACCAGTTTATGGTTTGGCGTCTCCTTACAAAGCTGTACAAAAGTGCGTGAAACGTTTCGGCAAATCTGACTCAGAAACTGTGGGCCAGAAAGACCTGAGACTTGGACAAATTGTTTATACATTAGTCTTTTGTAACATTTCATTTTCTTGGCTTCTTCCACTGGATGGTTTCCAATTTATTTTTTTTGTTGCTTGACAGCGAAAACGATCTATACAACTACATGTTAGGGGCGTAATGACTGTGGACAGTGTATGAATCGTTCTAGTTTAGGAAATCAATAATAACTAAATACCTCATTCGAAGCGAAACCCCGGCCTGTTCAGGCCTATTTGGGAGAGGGGGGACATTTAACTGCTTAGGAGTTATGGCAAGGGAACAATTACTTTTTTTGTGTGTGTAGAGATCGTCTTATCGTAATTGTCTGGCTCGTAATTCAGACACAAGGGTTCTACACTAGAAGCATGGACCTAGTATAAAAATGCATATTGCCAAAAACAAATGTGTGTTTAAAATATCCATCCATAAACTTGAGATGTGTCCAGGAGGAACGATTACCTTTCTCTAGAACTGACCAATGCAAGAGACCCTTAGCCTGTAAACAAATTAGGGTTGGGCAGGAGATGGGGGAGGGGGGAATGGTATACCAGTAAATAATGTTAAGAGAGATTTTTCAGGTAGAAAGTAGAATTTTCTGTTGTCAGAAAATATCGCCTAGCTTTGTGATCTTAAAGCAAATGATGTAGGTTTTCCCACACGTTGTTGGAACGAAATGCGAGGTTATAAAGGTGCAGAGATCTAGATCAGCAAAGTTTAGAATTTCCTCTATGGAAATTTTAGGCAAAGGAAATTGAGTTGTCCAAATGGTATTGGCTGCAACCAACAAACCAAATTTTATCAAAAATTTTCTTCAATATATATAATTATATACAAAACCGAAAAGAGGCGAAGTATTCCTACTACCCGAAAGTATTGTTAAATTGCAATGAAAGATGCTACACACTAAATTCCAAATTTCTCTGGCAACTGACTGATTATTGTGAGTCTAGACCATCCCGCCATGATTCAGAAACAACAACTACAGACACTATGTCATTCATCTCTTATTAGTCATAATATTTTTTATGACACATAGACATACTGAGTTTCCGCATACGCATGTCCGACGCATGCATCACTTCGAAAACTTAACAAGATATTCACCTTTTGAAATCGGCTCCTGTGATGTCTTATGTGTCAGTTTAAGTTTATTAAGAAGGACTACATCTAGCTACATTTATTTTGATTCAAGTTATCTCACTAAGGAAAAAATTATCACAAATGATCCATTCCTACGAAGTCTACAAATGGCCTACTGTTCTAGATTCTAGCCTATTTTTTTTCATTTTTCACTGTGGGATCATGGGATTGAGAAAAATGATCAATCGCAAAATGATAAGCAACTCAGCATATCCACGACTTTTCCTCAAAGCTACCATGACAACAGCTATAATACTGTTCATCATAAACTTGGGTCCCACAACACTTTCCTTCCTTCTTCCGATGAACAACACCGCGGCAACATAGGTTGTAGCCCGCGTCATAAACTTTGGTACCACAACATTTTGGCCACATCATGTCAGCTGACGGCCACATGGATTGTACAGTACCGCCACAGCACAATGTATCTGATGGATCGTAAGTGATTTTGCCACATACTGCACGTCGTTGAGTGCTCGTATCTCCTGCCATTTCGGCTGCTAAGAGAGTAACAGTGAAACAATTATCAGCAGTGAGCCTAAACGAATCCATGGTAATCAGGCGACAATTTCAGGCGAATGGGTGTCCAAAAAAGATATCGCTGGTTCGACAGCAAAGTTTGTGTTTGAAAAGAAACTATGATTGCTAACAAATAGAACCACTACAGAAGAAACTTAAATTGATTCAAAACAGTGAAAGTATTTGGCAAGTGAAAAATCTCTTCTTTCCGTAGTCACCTATACTCTTTGTTGAGCTACATACTGTTTATATCGATGAGAGGCTTTCCTGGTCACGTCACCTTACAGATGTAAAAAAGAATTTCGTAAACAAACTGAACCTCCTGAAAAGGAGTTCGTTCTTGAGCAGAAACGCCCTATTGGACTTGTACTTCAAGATAATATTACCATCAGTTCTATATGGACTAGTCGTTTGGGGCTGCTGCCCTAATGCAGAACTTCTACATTCTCTGGAAGTACTTCACCGTAGGGCAGCCAGAATTATATACAACTTGCCCCAAGATATGCCTACTGAGGAAGTTTACCGACATTCGAACTGGAATACTTTAACCCTCTATTATAAACTTCGATTAATTAAACTACTCCATAACGTGTTTATAGGTGAAGCACCTACGGCTCTTTCATACTTGACAAATAAACCCTGCACTGCATACAACTTCAGAAGGAGTAATAACATAATCATCCCGCGTTTTAACTCGCACTTTCTTAAAAACTCTATGGGCTATAGAGGCGCTACTCTTTGGAACGCTGTCTCGAGTCATTTTACAGACCATTTTACTGTTTTTTATCGCAAAGTGAAGAAGGACTCTTATTTTAAGGAACTTGATTTTAGCGCACAGTCGGTCCAGTCGCTGCCCAGGCACTCCAAGATTTTAAATGCTTTTAACTATTTTTATGTTTTAAATGCTGTAGTCAATTTACTTAATTAGAGGCAACTAATGTAAATTCATTTTAACCTTGTATTTTTTTTTTCATTTATTTAAATTAATTTCTTTCTTTATTTTTTTGGTTAGAATCTTACTGTATATTTTTAGAGTTTTAATTGTAGTTGTATTTTGTAAGTGATGTTATTCTTATTTTTTTTATACAGTTTTATCCATTTGTAATCATTTTTACACGACCCCACAAGCTTTGAGCTTTAAACCATATCGTATTTAAATAATTAAAAATTAATGAATGAGGCTGAGTATCATATGAAGAATTATGGAGATCAAGGAGGGTGTTACCCGTCGAGGCCGTAGGCCGAGGCGGGTAACACCCTCCCAGATCTCCATAATTCTTCATTTGATGCGAAAGCCGAATTCAATAGTTGTTTTATTATTCATTCAAAATAATCCCTAGTTTAAAAACAAAGCTAAAACATGCTTACCTCCATCGATGTTAAGTTCACCTTCGCCAGTGCACGTTTAGGGTTGTTCAGCTCCGCAAATATTCTCCAAATAGCAGATGACGCCCTTCGAGTTGTGTTCTTTCTGTTCTGGCCATGTTTTTAGCTATAATTTCGCCTACTTCTTACTCTTGAAACGAGTGAAATGTCCGCCATTTCTTGTTTTTACAACGAAAACAACTCAACCTCGTCCCCAGGGCTTCTCGGTTAACGATGCATTAACCTCCAAGAACGCTGCATTTTTGACGTCATTTCCTCGTCAAACACAAAGTTCGTCCAAATTTTTATCATCAGTGACTGGTCATGGGGAATTATGCGTGTGCTTTTAGCCAATCAGAATCGGGTAAATATTTTGAATGAAGAAATTTTATTATCGCAAAGCCATCTAAGAAAAAGGATCAGGAAGTGTCGAGTGGAAAGAAAAGATCGCATCTATTACCTTGGTGTACTACTCGATAAAACCGTGTTTTCCCGCCTCTGTACTCAAAGCTCTCGCAATAACGGAATCATTGCTAAGTTAAGGCGCTATCTAACTCTCTCTCTCTCAAGCCGAAATAATTTCATTATATTATCATTTTTCCTCACATACCTTATTTTATTTTAGCTTGGGGAAGTGCATGTCAATTACACATGCAAAAAAAATGCAAACCAAAATGCACGATACCATAAGACTCGCATTCTCGGAAGAAACTGTGCAGTTGGTGATAAAACAGATAGTGCTCTCCTTATCCAGATTTTCTAACAGTAAGCAACTTTTATCGATTTCGTGCAAAAGAACTCACACAGTTGTGGCATAAAAATCCTCTTGCCAAAACTTCTCAAGGTTTCTTCCAATATGCTATAGTAACGTCCATGGCCATAACAGAAGGTATACTTCCAAACAAACCCTATAGAAACCCTATATTCAGACAACTTCGAATCCCGGTGAAAGCAAATTTATTTCCACTACTGCGGTTCTTCATTAAATTTTTGAGGGAATAAAGATTTAATTCGAAGTTATTTTGAAAACGAGTCTGTCGCAACTACATCAGTAACTAAAGTTCATTAAATTTAAGTTCCTGCATTGCATGATCTCATCGCTGTTATTATATTTATTTTATCAATTTTTTTTTGCTTTCCACAGTTTTTCTGTTACACCCTGTTTTATCACAGTAAATTCTTACCCATCAGCTCCTCGGCTTGAAACATTCTTTCTGGTCTTACATGAACAGCCACTGGGTTTGCAAAGCTCCTGTAAACAATAACCACTAAAAGGATCGCAAATTCACGCGTAAACAT